GATTGACAGGCTTAGCCTGGTAGATAAAGACTCATTTGTGGGTAGGTTACATTCAGTGATACACACTAATCTTGGTGACGGGTCTCGCCCGATATATCCGAGGTTCCCATTACCATCACCATCTACTAGGACGTGATGCTAATAACCACATCGAGAAATCCACGCGGGCTTCTTATCACGAATATTGCAAGTCGCCGATGCATCTATTGAGAAACCGGAACATCTGCCATTCAACTTAACATATTATGTCAATGAGCCACCGCGATACCTCTTTCGAGTGTCTACCCCATATTCTCAGGGCACAACTGACACACATTGGGTGAAGTCTATGGCCGCTAGTGATGGCTTAGCATGTGGCGAGGCAGACATATTGTCTATAAAGAACAAACGGCACGCAGCAGACATGTTGAACAGGCATCTTCGGTGGCGGAAAAATCCCCATGATAATTTAGTGTCATGGACCAGCTCTTTGCTCTTTGCGCTAGTGTATATCTTCCACCTTCGTGCCAGTATACATAATGAAGTAACTTTGGACGAGATACAACTATTAGTTGTCGACACAGCAGGCCTTCCAAAAGGATCCTTTATGCGAGATCTGGACCTCGTGTATGCTTTTCGTTCTGTTGATCTGAGTCTTCGAAACGTTGAAGATTTGCGTCACAAGCAAAGCTCGAAGTTTTCAAGCTACTATTACTTTGGAGAGTACCTGTCACAGGGGGCGCTGAAAGTTGAAGGCCATTGCCAAATGGTGTCAGCTCGGAATATTGTCGATAGGGGTTTGCATGACATTCGAAAAGAATTCAAGGAGTTTGCAAGCTGGAAACGAGGGCCAGGGTCGGCACGTTGGGCAAACGCTGTTATTGAAATGCGCGAGGTTTTCTATCATAACAAGTCACAACGACGTAAAATGAGCAGAAGAGCAATATCCGCAGCTTTGCAAATCTCTCACCAGTTCGGACTGGATTTTCAAGCTCCCATAGCAGCAAATTTGATCGCTATAGCTGCTCCCCGGGATCGCGATATGCTTACGCAAACTATACGTCGAGAACTCCCTTCGTCTACAGGTTAGTGTGCTTGCTACTGGCTTTGATCTTGGCTAACGAGGATAGACTTTGATCGGAAGCACTTTCTCGAAGAATCAGCTAGGATAGCGGCTTGTGATACTATGCCTGAACTGCAGGAGTATAGCGCCATTATGCAAGGGATCTACAAGAATTAACCAAAACTCACAGCTGCTTCCGCTGAGGACACAATAATCAATACTTATGGGCCACTCTGTATTATGGATAGAAGCTAGATCGCTTGGATAAAGTCTAAAATGTAGCAAGGAGACTTTTATACAATGTATTATTACTATTTTTTGACCTTGTGTTCTGTAATACTCGTTTTGCTTCAGGGGTGTGATGGGATTCGGAATAATTTGAACCGAATATAAAACTTAGATACAATCGCAATTATCTTATATTGTGTACTTTTATACATCGATGTGTATAAAGGTCAGACTAATCTTCAATTACATATATTTTTCAGGGACCTATGTATTCAAGCTCGCTAACCACCTGGCCCCTTGATAACATTCTAGAACCCCAAACCACCAATGAGCTGAACCCTTATTTATAGGAAAGGCAATCGCTCAACAAGGATAAAAGTGCTTCCACAGCCCAGTGGGTGTCTATATCGAGATGGCTTTGTATACGATGAATGTTACCACCCACTTCGCCTTTGCGCTAACTTTCTCTTTTTTAACATGAGAATGTTAGAAATCTATCACTGATATGTGAAAAGCAGCTGGCAACATTGCAAGATAACTGTCACTTTCGTCCTTTCTTCCATATTCCCTTTTTCAACCAGAACTAACTAGTATTTGTGACAATCTGTCACTCCGTTAAACTACTGCCCGATTGGCCTGGTGTTTATCGATCGATCTGACAGATCCGGCTATCTATGAAAGATACAATACCGGAACGTGATAGATTCCTTCCCAATTCGCAACAGTTGGGACTTTAGACACCAGTGTTTATTTTGATCGTAGATGTATGGAGAGAGCCTTGGTGCTAAGGATATATTAATGACTACAGACATCTCATTGCTTATAACTATGCGCCTAAATATTTCGCTAGTTCTAACCCCTCAATTTTAGAATTAGTAATATCGATTAGTTTGTTGAGATGATCTTTTAAGAGACACCCATGACGCCCCAATTTTGAAGGTACCGGTTCATCGAATGCTCGAAGCCAAGATGTTTGGGATTGCTTTCCTCGTGGCGAGGGTCTTTTCTCAAGTATCCAAGCTCCAGATGTTTGACCTGTAATTTTTTCCTCCTCACAATAATAATCCAGTGACTCGATTGCTGTCACCTTTTGAAGGGTCGAACTGATGCTTAATGAGAAGTATGGCGGAAGAGGGAAAGGTGACAGCGAGCTCAACCACAAACCTTGGCCCAATGTACCAAGGAGCATGGCTCTACAGCCCTTATTGCATCCTATGGATTCACCAAGTAGTTGGCATTCCAGGTCATTCAGAAGGGAAAACAGATTGCGGAGTACATCTCCCCTTTTCACGCTCAAGTCATCTGGCTAGGTCAGCGTATCATCTTACTAGAGAATTTGCGACTTACCAAGGACTTTGGGGCGTATAGGAAGATCGAAGGTGGGTATAACATCTGTGCTATATCGTATGGCCGTGGTTGTCGCGTTTTTAAAAAGTTCCGGTTCCTCAAATACAAATGAAACCAAGATCCATCTCATGAGATCCTCACAAATTTCGGATGGAATTGGATCTTCAATTTGGCTCAACCAACCTTTGGCAAAGAACCAAAGGGCATGATGACATTGCAAGTCATCCACGATTGCGGTTATTTGAGAGAGTAAGGCAAGATCTATTTTCCTTGGAATGTAACGTGTCTGTCCGTGAATAATCTTCATCACAGTTTCAAAGGCCTTTGGGTCAAATACTGGTGCAAACTCCCAGCGAAAGAGACCATCTTCGCCCGGGATGGCTTCTTTGAAAGATCCTTCAAGCACTTTGCCAGCGCGTGGAGATGCTAGCACAAGATGCTTCTTCGAAACAAGAAATCGATTCTGAGATTGGTCTTTAGAGGCAGCCTCATTTTCTATATAAAAAGTCAATCTTCAGGTCAATCGAAGAGTAGTTGGCTTAGGAGACAGTGACCCCTCTTAATGGGTTGAGGAATGAAACCGGGCCTGATTGGCCCATGCTTTGATGGTTCCAGAGTTGAATGGGAGAGTAATACCTGTATCCGACGGAGAGAAGGGCTGATCCTTTGGATCTTGAAGGATAATTAAAGTATCACCGCGCGGATCAACTTCAAGATACATGATTGATGATGGTTTGTTGTTGGCTCGTTTTTAAAGGTGCGGGGAGAGCAATATTTCAACCCCGCAAGTCGACGTTGCCGAAGTTGTAGGCGCCAATTGATGAGCGGTGAGAACACTTTGCGAATAGCGAGGTAGACGGCATAATTTGTTTATAATAAAAGGAAAGGATGAGAAACATCCCACGCGCTTTAGATTGGGGACAATGCCTATGGTGCGAGTCTACTATGGACCTTCTCTATATGTAAGTCTAATCGTCAAGATGGGCCCCGCGATGGGAATATTAGGTAGGAGCCGATGGGTCACTCAGCAACGCTTATCTGGATATGTATAGGTACCGGAAGTTATGATACTACATCGGGGAACTGGCTCATGATGGAGTTGGGGACGTTCGGCTTTGATATTGTTACGTATAGGCGACTGATTCTGCCAGATCGATCACTAAACTAGCGATCAGGAGCCTGGCCTTTGTCATGAAGGTATAATCCAACTAATAGACTGCGGCGGTCTCCCTAAGAGAAGAATCCAATCGTGTGTGTTTGAACAGTATACTAGAGCCAGCTCTTCTATTAAGGTTGCCTTTGTATGGGGAAATGCTGGTCGGCACCCAAGTGATGCAAGCAAAGCCCCCTCCCCCACCTCCTATATGCCTATAAGTAGTAGACATCCAGCCCTCTAAAATTCTATTACTATCTCTACTTTCTGCTACCATCAATTATTTGCTCTAGTTGTAATAATAAGTCGAGGCATATGTAACGGCAGGGGACGCAGCGCCACAGAACAATTCAACATAGACCCCTGTATATCGATACATACCTTCTATCAGCACACACGACACACATTTCGCCTTCTAATGCACTTAGGTCGGAAGTATTAACTAATGAAAGTCTACCCCTCTACACAGAGTCCGTTCCTAATTGTAGATGCTGAACTTCAGATGAATCTTCGCCATTCTTGCCACCCTAGTAAATGGCGATATAAATGCATCGTGCGTCAGGTCAGCTGGAGCCATTCAAGCTGTACTTTGCCGTTTGACGCAATCCGCCTACGGACTCCCACATGTACCTCGCACTTCATATTGTGCCGCAAAAGTCTCGCCTCAGCTCTGTGCTACCTCAGCCGGACTACAGAACAATGTGGCGCTCGCAGTGGATTCTTTGTCTCTGCTCCGATTTGCAAACCATGAGAGAAGCCTTCGACCAACAAGCCAAAGGTACGGAGCACCAGCGCGGAGACTAAAAGATCCGAATAGTGTCCGCACAAATGGGCTACAAGGCGCTGTGCCAGTGGCGACCAACCAAATCGCGTGGTTGAGCCGTCAAAGGCCGATTCTGGCTTGTCCGAAGCAGGGTTGAGGGATGTGGACCGGGGCAATTAGGATGCCGAGACTGTCTTTGACTCTTTACTGACAGCAAACAAGAGCCTTAAATACCAGTTTATGGGAACTTTTGTCAAAAGTTAATGTCTCGCAGTGTCTATCATGAATCGACAAGGATTCAAATCTAAAGATTGTCCACTTTTGCCCCCTTGAGCCATCTTTAGTCTCGAGCCACCAAGAACATAACTCAGTCCTCAACCTCCTGCGGCACCACGCATATCACCGCCACTAACGAAAACAACAAGTCGGGAACACACAGCATTGCAACATCATCACTACGTATAGCAATGGTCGCCAAGCGAACCGTGCTTATATCCGGATGTTCAGACGGGAGCTTGAGCTCGGAACTCGCCCGTGCCTTTCACAGAAATGGCTGGCGAGTCTTTGCCTCAGCCCGTAACTTGGCCAAGCTAAAGACGGCTCAAGGCGCGGGTATTGAGATTGTGCAGCTTGACACAACTTCGGACGAGTCCATAGCAGCCTGTGTGGCTCAAATCTCAGCGCTTACTGGTGGCTCTTTGGACGTCCTCATCAACAATGCTGGCGCTGGTTATTCGATGCCAGTCCTGGATCTTGACATTGACCAGACCCGGCAGTTATTCGAACTCAACGTCTTTTCTCTCATTACTGTTACGCGTGCTTTCTTCCCGCTGCTTGTCAAGTCATCCACCGGTGGCTTGGTAGTTAACAACACCTCATGCATGGCACTGCCTCACGCCTCCATGCCATTCTCGGGAGCCTACAATGCCTCTAAAGCTGCCGCAGCGAACTTTAGTGAAGTGCTACGGCTTGAACTTGCCCCCTTCGGAGTCAAGGTGACCAACCTAGTGACGGGCGCTGTTAAATCGACTTTCCATGCCAACGCACCTCATATCTCGCTGCCACCCACCTCAATCTATAACGTTGCCAAAGAGGCGGTTGAGAAGTGGATGTCGGGAGAAGAAGCAACTGCTACGGGTGCAGATCCGTTCAAATGGGCAGAGGATGTCGTAAAAGAGCTCAACAAACCCAGCCCGCCGCTCTGGGTTTGGAAAGGCAAGCATGCTATGGCGGCGCGGATTGGTTCATTCTTACCGGTCGGTGCTTTGGATGGCATTTACAAGAGCAGGACTGGCTTGAATGAGGTATCACGCAAGCTTAAAGAGCAAGGTGGATCGAGCAGTATCAATAGGACCCCGTAACACAGCGTTTGTGGTGCCTTTGAGAAGGACGAGTCCATGACATGAGATATGAAGCTTAACCAAAATGTCTCACCTTTTTTTAACCAAGTTAACAGCATTATTAGTCACTCTTTATTTAGAGGACATTGGCTGAGAGATTGTCAGCGTGCAGAGCAATTTGTTTCTCTTCTAATTTTCATTTTTATCTTCAATACGTCAGTCATCATTTCTCAGCCTTTTTCCGTTGTGAGAGATTCATTAAATGCAGAGAGATGCATGGATTATGTAGATTGATAATTTTAATAAACCGAGCCCCTCGTCTGATGATCTTCATTCCCCTTCGGCGACATCAACGTTCCGAGTCATGCAATGAGGCTTCACCTGTGTAACGTTGGAGTACTCCACACTCTTCAATGCACTCATCCGGGAGTTTCAATACACCGATTGACGGATGGGCAGCGGCTGTGCCTTGACACGTGCATGGCTTCTAGTTCAAAATGAATCCAATTGTAAGCAGAGAAAAGCCTCCGGCAACATATTAGTTAATCAGCAAAAAAGATGGATCGGACAGCACTCTAGCAAACACTCAAATCCTACGTCGTCAGCCAGGATTTGCCAAGGTTGGCACCTGGTTATGGCCAAGAGGTCCTCTAAAATGGTAACGATATCACGCTATTCCTTTGAGTTTATCCGCGACGGCTGAGCCAAACCACCTTTGCCCAAGCGTCAGATTTCCCACCTGCTAGATATCGCGCCCCTCGTAATAAACTTTGGTAGCTCATCAAGGGCTTCGGAATGCCGTAGATCTAGACCATGTTTGTAGTGTTGTGTGACCCCGGAAAAGCCACTGCTTCTTTGTGGCTGCTCGTCCATGTGCAGTCACTAGGAAGGGTCCATCACGTGTATAGCTATGGTGGATAGCTAAAATGTCGTACGAATGCCCAGAAGAGACCATCGTAATTTCTATTCGGATTTGGAGGGGGCTGCATGCAGATGTGGATAGGTGAGCGCTAGGATGGACCTTGTGGGAAACTAGGAGAGCCTCGTGTGACAATGCAAGTAGCCTGTAGGAATTGAGATTGACATAACGGTATGTGGCTGGCGTCGTCGTTCCCGCCTGTTCTGTGAATCCCTTGGAGAAAGGTGGGTGAGTGTGAGGAGGTGGTCTTGTAGATCTGTTATACGGCTGTGACGTCCTACCAGATCTCTTATAGAAAACAGCTCTCTGCTGCTTGTGTGATACGGAAGTTCCAGACATCTTCAAGATGCCCTCGATGTCACACTTGAACTAATTCAATGTGCCATTCATTCATGTTCCAAGGACGATGATTTGTCTGTTTTCCTCGGTCTTATTTGCATCATTGCCGGATCGCAGCTCCATTTCTCGTCTTTATGAAAGCGCACTCTCCAATCTTGCAATACCGGGACTCTAACCAGAATAAATCCAACTTAGGAAAGAGAAACGGAAGAAAAAATGTTCTGCACAATCTCTTACGCAAATAATTCTACGGAAGCCGAAAGTGTATCCAAGATGGCAAGCAATCATACTTTTGGCGAATACCGACAATCGAGGCTTGCATGCAAAGAATGCCGTGCTCGAAAGGTTTGGCTGGACTCCTCATCCCGCAGAATGAGGGGCGCATGCGCGATACTAATACCAGTGAAAATAGGTCAAATGTTCAGGAGAAAACACAGGATGTCAGAGATGTCGGGAAACTGGTATCACATGCGTGTTTCCCGAGAGATCCAAACGTGGTGCGAAGAGGCAAAAGAATTCTGCTCCAACCGAATGTCATGACGGCCGAAAAAGTATCTCAATCAATGAAACGGGACTCAACAATGAAGAAGACGGCTGCTTGTCTGCATCTGCGTCTAACCGCGAGACGCATCCTTTTGCTTCGACTGGCCCAAGCTCAGGGTTTTCGCCCTCTCTGGATTTCAGCCCTTCAGACTTTTCGTTACACTGCGCTGGCTTGGGCAACAATTTTTCTCTGGGTATGTTTCAAGTTGAGTGTTTGGGTGGTTTGGACGACGGTGGACTGGCCAGCTAACGTGGAGCGTCTCTTCATAACAGACTTTGATCAATTGAATTCCACCCTCGGGGATCTCAGCAGTATTACTTCGAGCAGCAGCATCTCGCCCTCACAGAGCCAACCGTCGTGTATAGCGCCGCACAATACTCACAGAACCGCAGAAAGCCTGTTCCTGGAGGATAGCTCTTCGATAAACGACGGAGACCTCTGCGCATGCGCTCAATCTGCACTACACATGCTGGAGGAGCTGGAGCTCCAATACCACAACAAAATGGAGGTGTCTAGCGACGGTGTACTGGGCTACCAGAAGATTGCTTTGGCTCGGCTCAACTCTTGGCTCTCTTGCGATCACAGCCAAACACCTCGGGCCACGACCAAGCTGATAGTGCTTGTCATAGAGGGTCTCTCACTCTATCTGGAACGAGGCGTAGCTGGCTGCATCCGCCAGATACGGCAAGAAGTTGAGGACGAAAGCTCATACGCAGCGAGGTTATGCAACGTTGGAGACTATCATGTTGAGTCGAAACATGAGTGGGCACATATTTTACGAGTGTCATTGCTGGTACGATGCAGGGAGCTCCTGGCCGCGGTAACACGACTCAAGAAACACGACATCAATGACGTGCTTCTGCCTGCGGTGGAGCAGAGGTTATCAGGCATCATACAAGAGCTGAAAGGATGGGAAGATTACCTATAGAGTAGCTGTATACGTATCAGATGGTATTTAGAACTTTAGCTTTCATTAGCAAAATAGCTGGTGTTGCGGCTCTTTCTTTATTATAATGGGAAATTCCTACCTTGGGTGTGTATCTCTTTTAACAAGATGTACTCTTATCTCGTGTAAGTTTTCAGCTGCCAAGGCCCCGAGTTGTACAGAAGATAATGTGTTTCACTGGGCAATCCCGGCATTGGACAGGTGTAGATGAACCCTCACCGTAACGTTACCGGGCTACGGCATAATTGCCGCATGTCGGTCTCTTTTCTTTATCACCAATCACAGAGGTATTTTGCAGCTGACAGTCAAGGCTGGCGGAATTGGCGTCATGCCAATGGCCGTGTTATCGTCGGCCGCGTAATTGTGAGTCTGTACGACTTCATTTGCCAAGCTGAAGATGCCAATCAGGCATGAGGATATAAACTAGTTGAGGGGTCAGCCCAAGAACAATGCCCCGATGACGGTTGCATTTGCAATACGAGACACAGACTTGCGGAGTAAAGCTTCCATCTACTTATCGCGCTGCAAGAGGAGGGGATGATCCCTCGGAGATGGTGGTTTTGCGTCGAAGATTGGCTGCTAGGAGAATCGATTGCCTAGAAGATGGTGAACTAAACAGATGTTAATCTTGAAGAACCTTGTTCTCAGCATTAAGTCGTATGGGCCCGTGTAGTACGAATACGACTATGCGGCTCGGTAAGGAGCAAAGCGAGCCACAAACAATCTTCATGGGGAGACCACTAGGCAGTACAGTCCATGTAAAACGTGACTTTAGCGGCCTAAATTAAGATACCTCATTTATAGAAACATTGGGATGTTCAATTTGGTGACCTTGACCGAAACGGGTATGTAAAACGCATACTGTCAATAGACAATGGATACGTGTATAACATAACATGGCTCATTATAGCTCCCACAATACGACATATAAACAAATAACCCATATGTTCTTGTACAATGTCACTGTTATTGCCGCTTAAGCACTAAAATCCCAGCTTAAACACCAGACCGTATGAACTCTATGCTGCGGTCCATCCAGCCTCCTTTAGAGCATCTGTATCAAGCCTGTTCCATTGCAAGAAAACTCCAACCATTAGAGAAGCACCTGCCACGACACAACACAGTAAATATGCTACTCCGATTCCATTGAGGTAAGCCGAGAGAGTTCCTAGTATTTCGTCTGATCCGAAAACTTTTCGCAACTCTCCCACGTTGGTGCTCACGATTTGTTGGGGACCTACGCCGGGCGCAAATTGTGGCACAGCAATCAACATCCTATTGATGAAGACTAACTGTGACGCGGATGCCCAGATGGCGCTGTCCATAGGTTGAAAGCACAGTATCATGGCTGCTGCAGCTGGTAAATTGGACACATCAACGCTAACTTGAACGGCCATTATGGGCACTTGGAATGCGCAACCGAGACCGAGACCGACAACGACATGGATTCCGATTCAAACACCGTCTCTAGTATTGAGGTCGAACAAGCAGCAAAAACCACATCCAAGTGTTGTTATTGCCGATCCACCAACCATAACAGGTGTGGCCAAACCAGTGGTGGAGATGAAGATGCCAGAACCAAATGGCTTAAGTCATGACAGCAGTGATAAACGGTAGGTTGTGGACAGCAGATATGAGAGGATCAGTTGCGCGTATGGCTTGGAAATAGAGAGGGAAATAATAGATCATGGAAAAGAGCGCGCCGCCTGGGGATGGCCATGGCTCTTTCGTCCTGCCAGCGTTCGATAAACGCAAAGATGATGAAGAAAACAATGGAGGTCACAAGAAGCCCAATCACAAGCGCAGAGTTCCATGAGTTTATCTGACCACCATGGTAAACAGCCATGAGATAAGTTATGATTGCTCCCATCAGAATGATCGTTCTAGGAGGATCAAGTTGAAGTCATTTCTCCTTCATCGGCGCTTCCCGGGGATTTGAGGCTTTAGGGGTGTTGAAGAGCAATATTGTTGGAGTGATTGGGAGAACTTCAATGGGAAAATTGATGCAGAAACACGTGGTAGATACCTATCGTTAGTTGTGTCGTAGTTGAATTAATTTTTCATATACTCATCGTCGCCAAATAGACTCCTCGGAGAAGACACCCCCGCAGCAAAGGACCCAGAATGCTGCCAATATCGAAGATGGCACCTAAAATAGCAGTATGAACTGCCCTCTTCTTGGGCTCAGATATGTAGGCACAGATGGTGTAGGCGCCAGAGTTCACATCCGCGGCTCCAATTCCTAGAATTGTGCAGCTAATATACTGATATATTTTGCCCCATGTCGACTGAAAGCCACCAGATGTCATGAGATATATTGCACTGTATCACGCTTGACCTTCAATGCCATGAAACTGATTCGTAATGGCTGGGATTGCTGTAGCAGCAATAGTCTGAGAAACAAATTAGATAGATGCAAGTTGAAGGACCCGAGGGTGGGCTCACTATATCCAGGGAAACAAGAAAAATACTGAAGATGAGAGAGAGTAGCATGAAACATAGCTTGAATCCGGACATGTACTCTTCTTCCTTAGAGGCCTTCTCAGATTCCTCGCTTTGCGCTTGCAGAGGCACATCCGAATCGCTCGCAAGGTCTGGAGATCAAAGCTCAATCAATATAGCTACAGGCTGAAAAGACTGAGAAGACTATTTCCCATTCTGCAAATTTTTTATTCCAGCAGCCATGGCGTGAGGGGATAGACGAAGTCCTTCAGAGCTACTAGCAGAGGAATACCAGCCGTCTCTTCCGGCACCAGTAGAGCTCCAAGTCTCTATTATTTATGAGAAGAATATATTGAGCTGATAGATGCCATTATTTTTCTAAGAAGGATTCGGGAGGATTTTTGCATGTCTTGCCTAGGAGTACATGTACGGGCGTAGAGCACCTCATCCCTGCAAACGAGGTGGTGGACCTTTGGCTGGGAGGGAATGTCGACTATGCGGTAGATTCCAACTCATTTCGCCCTCGGAGACCTGATCATCGTATGCAACGGCATTTTGCAGACTTGGCCCCTCTGTTTTCCGAAACGGAGTCGGTGCAGGGTGACAAGCCGTTTACATGTACCATCCAATCCTTTCAAGTCCCCTGTAGATGCTCTCTGCAGGCCAACCAACGCCATGGCCATCGGGTGAAGCGCTACAGGCTTTCAGCTCGTTAGAATCGCCTCTGTTCGTTTATTTGCGTCTTTTGGACAGCCTCTCCGTGTATGTATTGGATTGATTACCAGCGCAAGCAAAAACACGGTCGGGGTAATCTTGGCCGGCTCGGTAATCCGTCGAGTCCGCTGTTGTTGGTTGATGTTCTTCCATAGAAGCTGGTCGGGCTGTCCGTTGCTGCCAAAGCAGCGAGTTCAGCCAACAAACAACAAGCCGCCAGCCGTTTCTATTCCAACATGAGGGACTAGATTAATATTGCGGCGGGATTAGAGCCAAGCTGCGATCTCAGCGCTGGTTTTGCACCGGGCTAGGGCTTGATCAAGACCGGCCCGTGAATCATGTCGGTGAGTTTGTACGACGTATCTGAATCCTCTGTTGGAGTACAAATTTTCGTACGTGTGTGGTGAATTGACAGGAAAATATTTCTGCCATTACGTCGACTATTGATTTGTGAACAAATTTATCTCAAAACGGTTATCCGACAGACTCAATTATAATCCAGCCGCGATGTCGAGCCAGCTCGAAAGTGAAGCTTCATTTGAGGCCACTACTCTCGGCTTTCTATGGCGTCAATTCACTCGGCCCAAACCTTTGCCCACAGGAATTACGCTCGAGGGCCAAGTCGCCATTGTCACTGGAAGTAATGTCGGACTTGGGCTCTCGGCATGCAGGCAGCTGCTTCAGCTGGGGCTATCACACCTGATCATGGGTGTCCGCTCTCAGACCAAGGGCGATGTGGCGGCGGCTCAGTTGCGCCAAAGCTTTCCCTCCGCTTTGATATCCGTCTGGATCGTGGACATGGAATCATATAATTCTGTCCGCGCTTTTGCCAGTCGCTGCGAGAGCTTGAATCGGATCGATATTGCGATTCTTAACGCCGGCCTTATTAAGACGCCCTACACTGTCGCGCAGGAAACAGGAAACGAAGTCACGCTGCAGGTTAACTATCTGTCGACGGCTCTCCTGACCATCTTGCTTCTCTCCATTCTCAAAGCCAAGAAAATTAATGCTAACTCCCAACCGCCTGTTATCAGTGTCGTGGGTTCAGATCTCATGTACAAGAATGAGCTCGAGCTCAAAGGGCCGGTATTACAGCAGTTCCAACAAGAAGCGGCCTTCAGCCAGTTCTCTTGGTATGGCAAGTCGAAGCTATTACAAACAATGTTTATCTCCAAATTGGCAGAATTTGTCAATCCCAATGATGTGGTTGTCAATGTGTCCAATCCCGGCATGACAGGTGGCACTGATTTCTTCCGTGGATATCCTGCTTTAATGATGAAGTTGATTGCTATTGGTCAATGGATTCTGGCGAGATCGGTAAATGTAGCTGCTACTACATATCTGGATGCGGTATTGGTTCAAGGAGAGAAAAGTCACGGCTCATTCACCAGTGACTGGACTATAAAGCCGTAAGTGTTGCCCTTGGACTAACAGCTGGTCTCAGCGCGCATGCTAAGATACATCCTTATAGATATCCGAAGCTTTGGTACACTCCAGAGGGCCAGGAACTGGAAGAGAGACTCTGGGAAGAAACCATGGAAGAGCTACATTTTGTAGGCGCATCAAAAATCGTGAATGATCTGAAGAGCCGAGTGGATATTGCATGAGATGGCTGGGACTTCTCGGCAGTTGTCGGATATTCAGTAGTAGCCATCTCAGCTAGAAGATAACACAAGCACTCTACGTAGTCGAGATCCTCATTACAGACTCACCAAGACACACTTCTGATGATAAACTTCGCAAGATCAAGTTCACAGTCTCGACTAGGCTACCTAGTCCAGATGATGATCCAGAGCTGCTGATTTCTTCAAGAGCATCTCAAACAGTTACACAGCCCCTGAGAACTGACGTGTCCATGCTCAATGATGGTTAGGTGAGACATTAAATAGCGAACATTGGACTTCTGTACGTGGTTGTTGTTCTTAACGTCGCCCGCACTCCACCCACCCACCTCTTCCAAACATTCAAGATCAGGTATCTAAGCAGCGACTTTATCTTCATAGTTCCTGCCCTAAATCAACAATCCTAGCCCATACATCTCAGCAATACTTTTGCATCTCTTTATCCTCTTCTTACACTTTATTCTACCCTACCTCTCTTCATTTAATCTCGGCATTCATCCCGTCTAAAGATGCCGTCGTACGTCGTCACCGGTGCCTCCAGAGGCCTGGGAGTACGTAACAAATCCTCACATAATTTGCATTTAAAACGAAATTCTAATTGATAGCACTCCAATAGTTTGAATTCATGCGCCAATTATCCAGCGATCCGAGCAACACCGTCGTTGGCCTCGTTCGAGACAAGACTGCGACCGAACAGGCCATAGCTCAAGAGCTGCCAGGACGATCCAACATTCACATTTTGCAGGCTGACATTACAGACTATGACGCTGTCAAGGTGAGTATCAAGTAAATTTCGTCTTGAGAGTTCTATTTGGCGCCGGATTCCTAAACGCAGTGTTCAATTGCAGAATGCTGTGGCAGCCACTGCCCGAATCACTGGCGGAGCGCTTGACTATCTCGTCGCAAACGCGGCATATGTATCAGAGTTCGATGCCTATGATCCCATTGGAGTTTTGTAAGCCATCCCTGTCGCTTTCTACGGCGAATCATAATTCAACAATATTCTGACCTTGTTTGCAGAGGCAACAATCCCAAGGAATTAGAAGAAGATTTACTCAAGTCTTTCAAGGTCAATGTGGTTTCCAACATCCACCTCTTCAACTTGTACATGCCTCTCATCCTCAACGGTAATGCGAAGAAGGTCATCTCCTTGTCCACTGGCATGGCGGATCTGGATTCAATGAACAAATTCGAGCTGCAGGTTGCCCCAGGATACGCCATCAGCAAGGCCGCCATGAATGTTGCTATCGGCAAATTTCACGCCCAGTACAAGAAAGAGGGCGTTTTGTTTATGAGCATCAGTCCTGGCGTGGCCGATACTGGCCACTACAATAATGGTACGAGTGTCTCTAATGTTCCCTCTGATACTACCTAATCAGCTACCTTGGCTAACAACGGGTCCTTTTGCTAGCAACCCAAGAGCAAATGGGAAAAGTCAGGGCCATGTTTCAAAACTTTGTCACGTATAATCCCGACTTTAAAGGTCCATCATCTCCAGAAGCCGCTGTGAGGGATGTCATTGCTGTGTGGGAGAGTGCAAGCATCGAGGGCGGCAGCGGTGGTACTTACGTGTCCCATCATGGAAACAAGAAGTGGCTGTGAGTTGGATACTCAAATGAGCTTATCGAACGACTCATGATACCAGTTGTCAAAGATCGCGAAGACTAGAGGAGCAAGATGGTGTTTTGCCTCAGCCTCGGTTCCAACAGCTTCACATCTACATGTGCAGTTTTCGCTTATCGAAGGCTTAGAGCTATCATCGACCAACAAATTCAATTCATTATTTTCGTTGAGTGCTCAATGAGAAGAAAGAGATATCGTATCAACGCCAGTTCATGTGATTATGACTCAATCTATGTCTTATAACTGGCCTGCGATATCGGTGCGTGAACATGAAAGTCACGATGATGGCTGTGCTGAATGAAGTGTGCCATCCATGAGTGAAACTTGCAGCGCTTCAGTGCTCAGTTACAGGGCCTTTACAGCCACTTTTAGCGCACCTTGTTCCGGCGACTTGGAGCAAAAGGGTGCTTATGTCATCATTTTTCTTTCTGTTATCAGCCTTATCTTGCTACGGAGAGGGGCAAAGTCACACGTGCCGTGGAGGGGCAGCAGCTTCATTTCTTTGTGACTTTTGACATTCCCAGCCCTGAGTCACCAGCAGACATAGACAAGACAGTCTGAAACGCAACTCGATTCTCTCTCGACATTCAAATCATAGCATATCAGATAAACCGACTTGTCCTACGATATTACACCACATTCACCATGGCTGACGCGGTCGCCGAGGCGGTGGCCAAGCTCGTGCTGGACGAGGAGACGGGCGACATGGTGACCAAGAACGAGCTGAAGAAGCGCATCCAGAAGCGAGCCAGAAAGGCCAATGCAGCAGCATCTCGCAGCAATGCCCAGAAGGAGAAGAGCAGCAACCCGGAGGCGAACAAGCCCGCTGCTAAGCCCGAGGAGCGCGTGATTGACCCGGACGCCATGTTCAAGCAGGGATTCCTCGGCGACGTTTACAAGCTGCGACCTTCCGAGGCGGTGGTGACGCGATTCCCTCCCGAACCAAACGGATACCTTCATGTGAATCTCGTGTCCTGATTGCCACAAGAGAGCATTGGATTACTGACTTTGACGGATAGCTTGGTCACGCAAAGGCAATTGCTGTCAACTTTGGCTTTGCCAAGTTCCACGGCGGCAGAACCGTAAGCTTCCCCACCGCCTACATTCTTGACATAGGAGTTGCTAATTGGCTTTAGATTCTTAGATTCGACGACACGAACCCCGACGCCGAAAAGGGAGAATACTTCGTCGCCATCGAGGACACGATCCGATGGCTGGGGTTCACCCCTAGTGAAATCACCTATGCCTCCGACAACTACCAGCGAATGTACGACCTCGCCGAAGAATTGATCAAGATGGAAAAGGCCTATGTGTGCCATTGCGATGATGTCGAGACCAAGAAACAGCGCGGTGGCGAGGACGGCTTGTCCCCAAGATATCGATGCGAGCATGCGAAACAGGATGTTGAGACCAACCTCAAGAAGTTCCGTGGCATGAGAGATGGAGAATATGCGCCGAGAAGCGCCTGGCTTCGCATGAAGCAGGACATTGAGAACAACCCGAACCCTCAGATGTGGGATCTCGCTGCCTACCGAATCCCCAAGGATCAGGAACCGCACTTCCGGACAGGCACCAAGTGGCGGATATACCCAACCTACGATTTCGCACACTGCCTATGCGACAGCTTCGAGGGCATCACACACAGTCTGTGTACCACCGAGTTTATCATGTCACGAGAGAGTTATGAGTGGCTAAACAAGTAAGTCTTTGATCATTGTATTCTTAATTCCCTAGGCTAGCACTAACTGGACACAGGCTCCTGGTGGAATTCCAGCCCATGCAGCGCGAGTACGGCCGCTTGAACCTTAGCGGAACAATCATGAGCAAGCGGGGCCTGAGAACACTGATCGAGAACAAAGTTGTTCGTGGATGGGACGACCCGCGTCTGTACACCATCAAAGGAATCCGACGACGAGGCATCCCACCTGGTGCACTTCTTTCCTTCATTTACGAACTTGGTGTCACCACTTCCATTACCCAGGTCAACATCAAGCGCTTTGAGCAATCTATTCGCGTCTATCTCGAAAGGACCGTTCCCCGTCTCATGCTTGTCCTGGACCCAGTTCCGGTAGTAATCGAAGACTGCGAAGAGCAAGACCTTGATATCCCCTTCTCTCCCAAAGACCCCAAGCTTGGATCCCACACTATCCGCCTCACCAAGACTGTCTACATCGATCGCTCAGATTTCCGCGAAGTGGACAGCAAGGACTACTTCCGCCTTGCCCCGGGCAAGACTGTCGGTCTTTTGAACGTTCCCCACCCCATCAAGGCTGTCTCCTTCACCAAGGACGAAACTACAGGCGCTATCAAGGAGATCAGGGCTGTCTACGACAAGGAGGGCAAGAAGCCCAAGACTTATATCCAGTGGGTGCCCGAAGGCTCGCTCCCCACCGAAGTGCGCATTCACGAGGCCCTCTTCAAGTCAGATAGCCCCGGTTCTGCTCCTGGAGGACTCTTGAGCGACGTCAACCCCAACAGCGAGACCATCTGGCCAAATGCTTTGATCGAGACCGGCTTCCACGAGGTAAAACGTCGCGCACCATGGCCTGAGGCTGAGGGCGAGAAGACGGGCGAGGTTGGCCCTGAGACTGTCCGGTTCCAAGCCATGCGCGTTGCTTATTTTGTAAGCTTATTCTAACTACTTTATGATCAATTGTGCGAACTATTTGCTAACTTTCAATAGGCTGTTGACTCCGATAGTACTGATGAGAAGATTGTCCTCAACCGCATTGTACCATTGAAGGAGGACTCTGGCAAGAGTAGCTAGTTTCATAGATGTGATATCCACCACATACATCTCTGCATCAAATCGATAGACATGGCAGCGAATGTAGAGGCATCCAGGGATTGTATCAACATCCTCTATTTGCACTACCCGAATACATAGCCTTCTCCATGCCGACTCATTCTCCGCCTGCACTACCATGTATATAGAAAAGCGCCATATACGCTATCCATGCCTAATGTCTCAATTCTTGTAGGGGATAACTGGGTTGTACCACCTAAAGTTATTTAGAGGATCATACTTGGACTTGAGAGCCCGCAGCCGCTGTAATTGGCCATCATAGCCGTAGATAGACTCGAGAGGCTCGCTTCCCACGGCATAGTTGACATACGTTGCAGGTCGACGACCAGGCTGGCCCGCACGCCATATAGCCAAAGTCTTATCAGCCCAAGCTCGAGCAAAAGTTTCCAAAGCTGGCGGAGAAGCAACAGCGAAGAAGCTGTATCATGGTCAATCTCATGCCTTCAACGGGAGCACTTTGATTTAAAGTTGACTTACACGAGCGAGTATTCGTCACGGTGAGGGTAAGATGAAGAGTCATGGTCAATTAGTTGAGTGGCCGTGGAAGAATAACCTTCAAAAAACGCGCGGGCCCCGGGAGCAAGACTAGGGTTCTTTGCGATTTGTTTGTTGAAGAGATTATAGATCTCGCGCTGAGACGTGATGTTGTAAGTCTGAAGCCAGGTATTACTTCCAACATACGGCTGTGAAAAGCATGATGCGCTGTTTATATCCGTTTGCTGCGCAACTAACAGCTCGGAGTAAGACACATCACCTTTGGTGCTTGAGATGGCGGGAATTGCGTTGAATGGAACCAAGAGCTTTTCAGCATCACTAGCCGGGCCATCATATGCAAATGACCAGATGATAACAGCCTCTGTTTCACTAATTTGTGGTTCGATAGAGAACTGGCCAAAATTGACGCCCATCAGTGTGGGAATCTGACCCATCCCCTGGAACTTGTTCAGCGCCGCAAAGACCGTCTCAAGCTTGTCTTGTGACCAGACGTAATTATGATAATGCCAAGTATTGGCCTTTTTCGGATATATCTTGATGTAGGCGCTGGTAACAATGCCAAAATTATGGCCAGCACCCTTCATGGCCCAAAAAAGGTCCTTGTTGGAGGTGGCACTGACCGTTGTGGTGGAACCATTAGCCAGAACAACATTTAAGCTGACGAAGTTATCGGAAATGAGGCCGTATTGGCCCTGATATCGACCTAGGCCGCCTCCTAGGGCTGGTCCAAGGAGGCCGACGCAGCCATTGCTGCCTGTAGCTGGGGATATGGAATATCCATCTTAGTAACTCGAGTCACTCTGGTGTATCCGAGCGGAGATGTAAGTTACTTACGAACGATGTATCCTTTATTCCAAATTGTCTTGATGGCCAAGTCAGCATATACTCCGCCTTGGAATAATGCCGAGTTTTTGTCAGGCTGGATTGTGATTTCGGTGAGCTTCGACAGGTTAATCTCAATGCCTCTGAACTTGGAAATTGTATTCGTTGAACCATGGCCCCTGGCATACGCGAGGAAGTCGATGCTATTCTGGTAGCAGTATGTCACCTAGAACGCTAAAGTTAAGAAGATTGATCTTGAGGAATATATAAATTCATGCTTACCACTTTAGCTACATCGGATTCTTGGGCTACTTCAATAACAACTTGTATGTCATCAGGCATAGAACGCGTATTCCATCTCTCGGTAGCATTGGCAAAGGCGGGACTTGAAGGGCCAAATATCAGAGTGCCTTGGGAGAGGATTTTGCCGAGATCACTTTCTACTTGCTTCGGAGTGATTGTTTTGGAGATGTCAACTGCTCGAAAGTAGTGAGGAATAATTGGGCTGCTTGACGTAATGGCTGGAAATAATACCAGCCCAAAGGCGAGTAGGCTGCTGAGCCTGATATTCATGATGCTTTAGAAATGGAACATTTAGTAGCAATTGAGCACGATGAGCAAATCGATGATTGAAATACGCTATTGAATACCACAAAATAGGTTCCATGTCTCATTTAAACTAGCCATCTAAGCTACCATGTCCGAAAAGCCATAGTGCTGTGCTCTTACTGGACTCATTCCGCATCATATGAACTTATTTCTCTCACAAGATCTATCGGAAATCTTGGGGTCTTGAATTTCAAGACTTCAGACCCATTGAGGCTGAGTAGAATCATCTGAGGTTAGCCACTCTCACGGCTGAATACGAATGAAACATACGATATCGATCCCGCATGTGGATGACACGCGCTGTACGACGTCCGCGTGCAGAAATATGTGTATTTGGGGAACACATCGATTGGGAATTGGAACTGAGAATCTCGTCAAAAGTGTCAGCTGCTAAATGAACAATAGCCTAGCCACCAATAAGAACAGCCATCATAGGTAGAGAGCTGAATAGACAGGTAGGACAGGGATGTCAATTACACCTCACCCGCATTATAGGCTCACTTATATAGTCAATATGTAATCCTTCGGAGATGTTTCCAATATTGACGCTATATAAGAATTGGTAAACAAAAATTGAGCTATGATAATAGTCTGTGAGAGTCCTTAGGGATCAGCTGCCAGGTGTGGTGGCGGCTCGCGATATCGAGTTGGTCCTTGTGCGGCCCCGCCATGTGTTCGTGTTGCGTCAACGCTGTGACAATTTACTGCACGGTCCAGTTCGTTTGCCGGTATGTGTTTGTTATTCAATAGAATTTCCCTCATTGTTCGATTATGAATCATACCGTCTCGTTGTTAGGTGTCCCACCTCAATATGCGTAGAATAGTCCATCAGAGATCTTATGCGTAATGCCCAAATCACTCATCTAACGTACTCTTCCCCCTCGTATTAATTTCCTTGACTTTTTGAAGATTAATCGTGATCTAATATGAATCCTTTCTGAATTTGTTCACCTACAAGAACAATAAAGGATGGTCAGTCCGTGGCAGATGTGGCTTTCGCCTCGTCCGCAGCGTTCGGTGATCGCTTTCAGCTCGCACATTTACTCCAGTGACAACGCTGCTCTCTTCGAGTTTCTCAAAGAAGAGGACGGCCGGTGGGTTGTGAGGGAAACACACTACATCAATAATCCCTTGGTGAAGGATGGACTATCTGGCCCACCCCTGTAAGCCCTCTCTTCTTGGCTCTCTATCTATATATTAAGCTTACAAATGTGAAAAGCCACATACACTGGAAGCAAGCCGAGTATTTCCAAGTCGAGCAAGGGGTGATCGGGATCCATAAGGACGGAAAGCAGATCAGGGCTTCGAAGGATGATGGCGTAATTGAAGTGCCAGCCGGTACACGGTGAGCTCCTCCTCCTTCTCATCTCATTCCTATTGTTCAGCTTTCCGCCAGCTTCATCATCATATCCCGGTCCAGATCCTTCTTATATTAAACCAATTGTACACTGTAGCCACAAATTCTGGGCACATCCTTCCAGCCAAGAAGACCTAATCTTCAAGGTCTGGGCTGAGCCTCAAGGCCTCGACAACAGCTTTGACGAAAAGTTCATCCGAAACCTGATCGGATATCAGAGGGATTGTAGAATGGCAAACATGGCGCCGTCTTTGTTTCAAATTATGTTAATCTGCTACGACTCCGCAACTCTGGCTACACCACCCTTCTGGATGCCCCTGTGGCTTCTTAGCTCGGTTCAGTATATCTTGGCTTATTGGATTGGGGGCCGCTTGTTAGGGTACGTTTATCGACTTCCTCATCCTATTGATCCTCTTTCATATAGTAATATTGTTTCTATTATAGATATGAGCCATCTTATCCTGAGTACTATAGGGAGCCTGGAGACAAGAAAGAGACGTAATCATTACGTGTGTCCAATTGAGAAAATATTATTAAAATAACTGCAACCTATACTAACGCTACACCAAGCAAATACTGTGACCAAGGGTATTTAAGAAAATGAAATAGAGTAACGTTAACTATCTCTTCAGGTAGACCGATCCCTGTAATATAGAGGGAGTTTAATTTGCTACCTCTTCAATAGACTCTTGCACGCGGGCAAATGATAATTCAGCCATGGTCTCGTCCCATAGCTGCTTACCTATCTCCTCTGCTTCAGGCTTGTATATCATCGGCGCCATACTAGCCAATTAGTTAGTATAGTCCTCATATCTGGATTAGAATGAAAGGACACTTACGGTCGTATCTCTCCGTCCTCTGTGAACTGTCCATGAACTTCTTCACCAAAGCTGACGGCTGCATGAACGAGTGAGAGAGCTCCGACAGCAGGAGATTTCCCAACTATACGTCTAAAGCCATTGACAAGTAAACCCGCAAGAGTGCCATCTCCATCTCGCGTCAGGTCAGTTCCATAGCAGAAGCTTGGGTTGACAGAATCTATGGTCACAACAGATGCCGGTACCCTTTTGGCCAATTCAGTCAGATAAAATTGACCAAGAAGTTTGCTTGTGCCATAGCGCTCTTGCATATCCCACTTTTCAGCCTTTTGCTTGAAGGTAGCCAAAATTGGTCGCGATTTGCTTTCCTTGAAGCGGGCTCGAGCTGCCGTATCGGACGAGACAAGAACCAAACGCCCAGGAGAACCTCCAGGTTTTGCCTTGAGGGCACTTAAAAGTAGCGTCATTAGAAGAACGGTGGAGAGATAGTTGATTTGGACACATTTTTCGTAGCCGGTGGATGGAGTGAATGCCTCTTTAGCCTGAAATAGACCGGCATTCAGGATCGCAATGTCTAAGCGATCCAGCGCCTTTGCTCTATTCGCAAACTGGATTATGGAGTCATACGATTCCAAGTCCAAATTCCAGACTTCAATCTCGCCTGACCCAGCATCTTGATCGGCAAGTATTTCTTCACGAGCGGCCTTGCCCTTTGACTCGGAGCGCACAGCAAGAATGAGCTTTGAGAGGCCCAGACGGAAGAGTTGGCGAGCTGTCTCAAGACCGAGTCCAACATTGGAGCCCGTGACAATGGCTGTCTTCCCAACGAGAGTCACATCTTTGGCTAGGGGTGGCGTCTTGGCAAGCAGCTGACGATACAGCCACTGCGACGTGCTCGCCTCTTTCTCGGGCGTAATGGAAAATTGAGGATGGGCCATAATTGCAGCTGGATTACTCTACTCCGGCTTGAGCCACGCAGATTATGGGAGCTTGAAATCCGATGCGATGAAGGTCTCGAGTTACCCAACTCACAGCTGAAGAAATACTCCTGCGGCCGACACGCCCAACCAACAAGCCCGACCAACAGCTTGGCCATTCCTTCGCAGGCGGGGGAATTACGCGTCCGAAGGCCCCCAGGTTAAACAAAGGAGTGATACAGGTAGCGTGAATGATGTAATGCGCCTAGATATTTACATATTGTGCAAAGAGTGCTCCAATAAGGTGACATTCATTGGTGTTACAAGTGTCGGGTGCTTGTCAAGAACTTGGACGTCCCAGGTATGGAGTGTACACACTACTAATGTAGTCAGGACACAGAATACAAAATGTAGCCATCGTTTAGAGTTGTTTCCGGTACACCATCACATATATAGAAGTCACAATGAAGGCAAATCTCGTAAACATCATGCCGTAATGGATGTGCGACGTCGCTGCTTCTAAAGAGTACCACAGATAACTCCCGCTCAACGGCAAATTACAGGCTGTCTTTGAATACACCGAGCTGAATTTACCGAGCACAATATGCCGTGCTCATTAAGGCTCGGGGTTCGGGCCTTACTACACTACACCGAATGATTTCCCTCCGTGAGAAAACGCCCCCACAGGTTATTAACACCCGAATCTTGATAGCAGTGTAATGTGTTGGTTGAATCCCCTGCTGATCAGGCACACTCCGGAGAGAGCCTGCTATGAATCGCTCCGATCCTCCGCGCCGGGCCGGGGCAGAGTAGTGCAGTATGCCTTCGTAAGGTGTGTCGCACAGTTGTATGCCCAAGAGTAACACAGCTTTGCCAAATATTGCCTGCATAAACTAGTAGCCTTTCCAGGTTTACAATGAGGATGCAGGATCTGGCCGGGGAGCCAGCGAGCCACATTCATTCGCTCAAACACTCCTCCTCATTCAAGTGCAACAGCTGAAATTAGGTGCATGGAAGATATAAGCCTTGTTGGATGATATTGGCAGAATACGAGATGGCTCAGGATATTTCCAACAACCTCCATTATAGTAGGAGGCCATCTTTCAGCGCAACGACCTATGGCTGTTCTGGTTAGCTAGGAGGTTGACGGCAATCCAACGAGAAATACAATGTAGATAAATACCGAGTACAAGATGCCTGAGTTGCGCGCATCTCATCAGGAACAGTTAAAATACACTGTATTTTCGTCCATCTCTTATGTCTTAGCCCATCATGGCGAGGTTCCGGCTTTTGTCTCTTTTAGCTTTCCTCTGTGTACTGGAAAATGCTGTCGCCCTCCCTCAGGGCTATAGTGATGAGCCTAAACCCAATCTCAAACCTCTTCTCACCGACCAAATTCGTAAATGGTCACTCAACACGACCGTTTCATTCCCTAGTTCTCCTGCTTTCAATGCCTCTACGGAGCGCTGGACCATCGCCGATCCACCTACCTATGTCGCTGCTATTAGGCCCGGGACAGAAGAAGATATTAGCAAAGTAGTAAGTCCAGCATCTTCTGTCAAAATACATTTGGCGTATGGTTACTCATCGTAAATCCAGATCAACCTGGCCAGGACTAAAAGATTTCCATTTTTGACTAGAGGAGGTGGGCATGGTTACGCTGCCAGCCTTGGTGACTTTCAGCTTGGACTCTCTCTGGATCTGAGTCAGTGGAAGAATCTTAAGATTGACAAAAAGGCCCGGACTCTCACTGTAGGCCCTGGTATTACGTTTGCCGAAATCTTCGACCCTTTGTTCAACGCCGGATTTTACATTCGTAAGTGATGTCACCCACCCTACGGATGCTCAAGGGAATGGCCACTGATAACCAGATAGAAACCGGGAGTTGCTCATGTCCCTCCATGATTGGTGTTACTCTCGGGGGCGGAATCGGAAGATTAATGGTATGGCTCTCTTCTCTTTTCGCTGTGCAACCTGCACCAGGCTATGGTTTCGTATTAACGTATTTCCAATGACGACAGGGGAAATACGGCTTGCTGATGGACGCCCTCCAGTCCGTCCGTATGGTTGGGGCTGATGGAAAGGTGATGACAGTTTCAGCGAATTCCCACCCTGATCTATGGTGGGGAATTCGTGGTGCCGGCGCGAATTTTGGAGTCATCACGTCTGCTACATACAAAGTTTATCCATTGGTCAACAATGAAAACGTTTTCGTCGCCGATTTCTATGTCCCGGTGGAGAGAAGCCGGGAGTATTTCGACATGGTTGAAGTCAACTTCAGCAATATGCCTGCCAATTTGGCCCAGGTAATGATAGGACTCTGGAACAGGACCACCAGCTCTGTTGGTCTTACTGTGCATATTTTACACATTTCTCAGAAACTAGACTGACTCTGTCAACAGGTGCAACTTGTCGGCAACTGGGTTTACTTCGGGACTGAGAAAGAGGCTCGCAAAGTGCTTGGCCCGGTGTTCAATCTGAATGCCACCTCATCTACTCGAATTGTTCAATGGAACAAACTAGTCTCGTCCGGTGGGTTTGACGAGTTCATTTGTCAACCCAATCAGCCGCGCTCTCTTTTCAGTTTAAACCAGAAGATTTACTCTGCGGATGGCTACCGGGCGGGCTTTGAGAAGATTGAAAAGTACTTTTATGATCATCCTGGTGGGCGCGACACGACGCTTGTCATTGAGAATTTTCCCAACCAAGCTGTCGCTGCAGTACCTGATGATTCAACTGCATTCCCTTGGAGAGATTTCAAGGGCTTCATGTAAGTGAAACCTAAGAGCTACTTTTTCCCTTTCACAACAATTTCGTCTGTATCGGTTAGGCCAAGACTAACAGCCAAATAGCCAAGTCAATTTTGCTTGGAAGGCTGGAGATGAGGCCACGGCGCGGGCTTCCAACAAACTCGGGGAGGAGCTGCGCAATCAGTTCGCTGCCACATCTGGATACTCTGAGAAGACTGTTTTCGTCAATTATGCCCGCGGAGATGAAACCATTGAGAGCATTTATGGTAAGCGGAAGCTGCCTCGCCTGGCCAAGTTGAAGAAGAAGTATGATCCGTCCAATCTCTTCGCTTACAACCACCCACTCCCCATGCATTATCCTTGAAATATCTCGCAAAGGTAGCAGCTTGGGTATGAGATTTGAGGCAAAGCACTTACAGAGCTGCCATCTGCCTAGAGTTCCTTGTACGATAGATTGGCAATTTTTAGATAACATTGTATTATGCTTGCCAATTAGAGTGAAGACCAATTTTTAACTCATTGTTCAATTCTGAATTGTTTCAATGATAGATGGTGTGCATAAAAACAGCGATTCTCATGATTCTGTAAATGACTTACCATCAAGAAAGTATAATGCTGATAGTTGCTATAAAAGCTCTGGAAAGCTGTATCGCAGTATCTGATCTAGAAACCCAACGTTTCATGCGAAACGCCGCTCAGCAGAAATACAGCGTGAGAATCTGTCTCTTATATTTTATTCCAATAATAATTGGCTAAAATACATCATCAACAGCTTTCCCACTTGCACATCAAGAGAGTGACTCAAGCGAATCTTCATTCTCGCCGTCCAGAGGCTCATAATCTTTCCACTTGAGCCCTGCTGGAACAGTCTTCCACTGCATCTCATCATCAAGCAACTCAGCAACGGCATTCCATTCTTGCTTGACTGCTGCAGCACGACTCTCGCTTCTAGGAGCAATATTGGCTGAAAATGGCATAGGAGATATGAACAGACCGTCTTTGATGTTATCAACATCTGGGATGATTTCATTTCCTGTTTCTCTATCCACTGGTCGTTTTAGATCAAACGCCCAGAGTGTACGAGATATGGCTAGAAAAATCGATCGATCAGCAATGTGCATTCCTTGGCACAATCTTCGACCGGCACCAAAGACAAAATGATCGCGCTTGGTGGGATCTGGGTTGACTGCTGCTTGGGCGGAATTTTGGTTGTCGCCTGCCCATCGAGCAGGATTATATCTTCGTGGATCAGGGTGTCGCTCCGGATCATTGTGAATAGCCCTAAGAATCATCATGATATTCGGTTTAAGTCACAGAGCCGCTACTATGAGAGAGGCAAATCCCAGACTCACCAGACATTTAGAATCACTCCTGCATCCTTGGGGATATGATAGCCCATGTACGAATCGTCCTGGGTCACAGCGTGTGGTACACCCAGAGCAGTAGCAGGCATCCAGCGCAAGCTCTCTTTCATACAAGCGCGGATATAAGGCAAATCTGGATAGTCGTTTAGATCAGGCAGACGGTCTCCGCAGACACGGTCAATTTCCGCTTGAGCCTCTTTGGCAACTTCGGGAAAGACTAGCATCGCTTGGAAGAAGCCGGTCAATATGATGGCCGTCGTTTCGGAGCCGGCCTGCAAGAGAGAGCCACTTAAGTAGCAGCCAAACTCATCGGAGAATCCATATTCTTTTTGCGTCCGAAGAAGATCAATGGCGCAGCATGGCTTCCCCTCGCGTTAGTTTTGCCATTGTTATCTGCGGATTGTAATACCCTACCTTCGACGTTCCGCTGCTCAGCTGCTCACGGGCATTCAAGAAGTGCTTCATGAACAATCGTTTCTCTCTCTCGTGGTACTCTCTTCCCAGTCGCCGAACGGGGACAGGAAAATCGGGTAAAACTCTAGCAATGGGGAATAGGTCGAGAATGGCGGCGGACTATGGGAACGGCCAGGTTAGATAAGCAAAGAAGGGAAGAATATAGCTACCTACTTGGCTTCCAGTCAGCCTGGAAAGCTCATCAAAGTTCTATACAGCCACGTCAGTCTCCATTATTGTTTAAATCACGTCGCTGCACCATTATTCACACACTTCGAACATCTCCAGCAGATTTTTGTCGTCGCTTGCTGGAGTACGGTACCCAAAAGCCATTTGGGTGGTTAATGATGTGGTATAGCGGCGGATATGATTCAGAAAATCCTGTGGGCTTTCAAGAAGGCCCATCAACATAGCTCTGACCTCAAGGTCCTGATACGGGACATAGGTTCGAGAGACCTTTATGTTGAGAAGACTGTGTGCGAGCTTTCTTACCATACGCCAGACAGAATTGTTCCCCTAGCTCTATTTTAGCTTGTCATCCCATCAAGAAAAACAACTTGGGGTTGAAGCAAAGCGCCTACTGGGCCTAAGCAGGTCACCAGTAGAGGAAGCCTACCATGAATAATGGACGATGCCCGCCGCTCATAATTTCTTGGCCCAGATATAGCTCTGGTCTGCCGGAATAGATTAAACTCCGTTTATCCAAGAGATCTTTAACAGCGATATCTGATGACAAGACAATGGCTACTTTTGTTCCCAGCATGAGCGAGTACACCGGTCCATACTCTTCTGCCCATTTTTGAAACTGCAAGTGTGCATTTTTCTTCGGCATTTGATGAAGATTACCGATCAACGGCAAGGTCGGTGGTCCAGGAGGGAAGTTCTTTGGTCGTCGCCCAATTCTGCAGAGTCGCCAGAAGAATAATGCCAAGGCTCCCAATCCTAACACTACCCAGGGCTTCGGCATGTTTTCTTCCATTAGATCCATAATAAGAGGAGCTTAGAAGCCAAAGTGCAGGAAATATCTTCAAAGTGAATTGCTGCCATATATGCGGAGAAAATACAACTTGGAGGAGGTAAGATAAACGAAAGGGTAGAATGGCGGGTCAAAACACAATCTTCGTCTTACAATAGAATCGAGTAGCACACCATCTCAATGGGAATTTGACCTCATATTAACCAGCCTAAAGCTCTTATATGGATGTATACTCTTTTGCTATTACAATAACGCGACTATTCACTTACGTGTAATCAGGCCTGGGGGGTTTTTTTTTTATGTGCTACCAAGCGTCTAAACGAGAGAGCGCTGAAGTACCTGTGTGAATAACCCAAGTTCGTACATTTCAGAATAGATCACAAAACCGTGTCACAAAGCATCCGTAAATGTAGTAGCCAGGGTTCGGGTAGTACCAGGAGGCAAAGTTAATGGGGCTTCTACATAAATATCTTCTTCGGCCCGGAGCCGTCGTGGATTAGCGGGCCGTCGCTCGTGGCTTATTCTGACGTAGCACAGGGTGTAGCAACAAGATTCAAGCCGTAGTTGCATTTGTCCTTGTCAGAGCCACCCTAGCCGTGCAGTTATTTGAGCGGAGACTTACACGAGAAATGAGAAAAAGAAGTATCAAAAGACAAGTCGCAAGTCTTACAGGGATGTGACGTCCGAAACGTTTGCACTAATGGAGATGTTTTCCAGAAATGTTACAATAATGGGTGGACGTGGCATCCACATTTGATCTTACAAATGGTACATAATTAAAACCGCATTTGTGTAAGGGGTAGTTGCTTTTCAGTGAAGCAAGATTATTATTTCTTATAGTGTCATTCAAGTTCCAATTCCCATTCAGCAGCATTATTTCTGAAACATGACCCGGGAGAAGAAATTCGCTCTGGTTACAGGGTAAGCACTCTATGTTACATTTGCTCCCGTCAATAATTTTCGCTGACTTCTCAACAGGTGCGGGAAAGGCGGAATTGGTGAGGCCCTCATACTGGAATACGCTCGTCGTGGTATCTACGCTATCGCTACTGTACTTCCAAATGAGAATAGTAACCATCTTACTGTTGCCGGGATTACCTGGTTTCCACTGGATGTGACCGATGAACAATCTGTCATCAATCTGAAGAGAGAAATATCTTCCATTACCGACGGCTATCTGGATATCCTGGTAAACAACGCGTAAGTTTAGCTCGTCGACTGTCTTGTGTCGGTTTCCAGCTCATTGAACACTGTGTTAGTGGAATATGTATGAACAGACTTAATGCCAAGAGACGACAATTCTACTAACCGATGAATGCACATCAAATAGGCTACACTATGACTGCCATTGACACAGATGTTAATGCAGTCAAACGCATGTTTGAGGTCAATGTCTTTGGCCCAATGCAGATGGTACATCACTTTCACGCTATGCTGATTCAGGCCTCTGGAACCATTGTGAACATTGGATCCATCGGCGGCGTTGTTCCATATATGTACGGAGGTATGACTATACTGTGGAAAAGAGCCCAGAGTATGCTTATGTTAACGCTACCAAAGCATCATATAACGCCTCCAAGGCTGCTCTTCATCATTATTCCAACACCTTACGTCTAGAGATGTCACCTTTCAAGTGAGGCCACGTTCGTGAGAGAAATTTGAAACAAGATTGCTGATCTTTTCCCTCCATATAGCGTCAAAGTACTTACCGTAAGTGAACTTCTGCCGACTGCATTCAGTGTTGGCATATGCTGACTACATGAATACTCTAGGTCATTTCTGGGGAAGTTGGAACCAACATTCTCAAGAATGACGTCCACCGAAGACTGCCTGAAGGTATACTGCTATTGTTATAGTCGCGAATCATTTCAACACTAGAAGCTAAGTAATTACAAGGGTCATGTTATTCCCCTCTTGCAGCTGAATTTGAGAATCACGTTCAAAGAACACCAAGTGAGTGCCTTCAGTCCAATCAATTGTGAATAAATGGAGGAGCTGAGAGACCTCTAGAAACAACAAGTCGCTTTGACTACGCATCAAATGTTGTATCTCAAAGCCTAAAGTCATCACCAGCAGCATGGTTCTGGACCGGAAGTGCTACTGCTATCATTCGGTTTTTGGACATGTTCGCATGGCGTACTATATGGGTATGTCTGTCATTCTTAGGCGTTGAGATGATAAGAGGCGTAGACGTAAGAAACTAATAGTCAGATTTCAGGATTTCTTCTTTTACCGGGAGTTCAACCTGGACAAAGTGAAGGAAGCTCATCTTGCAAACGTTGAGAAGAGTGCGTAGAGACTGCCTTGCCTTGCTGCAATGCATCTACTTTCATTGATCAGATGGAGAATTTGTACTGCAAAGGGAATTGGTGATAGCTTTACTCTGGCCTCTTTGGGTCCCTATCTTTCCTCAGTATTGAACAAATTTACTGCTAGAGCTTCATTGTAATAGCTAAGGCATGTCGTATTCCCGTATAAACAGCTACTTGGGAAAGACTTGGAAGAAATTACATCTACGACCTACGGTAGCCTAAACACATATTGCTCTTATATCACAAAATGGTATACAAGGTATCTCAATTGAGATTTTTCTTCAGCTTTCCAACAGTCACCTTAGCTCACGTAATGACTGGCCCACTATGTGCTGTGCAAGTGTTTATGTCAATTCAGGATCTAGAATTATCAGGTATGGAACAGATAGGGATTTTTATGAGCAGTATTAATTATCACAGTTACACATATAAGTGATCTTACAGCACAATGTATCCGTTATCGGCGTATCATTGAAATTGATATCTATAGAACTTTATAGCAAACCTATAACAATACGCATCAGACGAATTCCCTTCAAGTGCGTTCATCGTTTCTCGTAGTATGGCTGGAGTTCATTGAGTTCCTCCTTTAGCTCCTGGCCATTGATCACAATAGGCTTGCAATCGAGCAACACCCACATCATGCGACCCGGCAAAGTGCCATTACCAGTGATGTTATGCCATTGATGGGCACTGGCACGCTGCACACTGACATCTCCTTGACGCATGATTCGTGACTCGCCCGAGTCCAGGATCAGTTTGAACTCGCCTTCAATGACGATACCATAGTCAAGCGAGACGGCACGGTGCATGGGAGAAATAACGTCGGGAGCAAAGTCAATCATGCGGCACACAGAACCATTGTGAATATGCAAAGGCGGCTGCAAGAAGTCAGTATATAGTCTATCGCCAATAAGCATGATATCAATAATCCTTACTTCATTCTCTAGAGCATATTTAAGGTCAACATCACCATTCATTTCGACGGGAGTCTCCTTGGTTGAGTAGATGATGTTGGCAAGAGCCTGCTCGTTGCCAATGATACGGTGGTGATCGCCGCAATCAGTCTGGATGAAGATACCTTTGCCTTCGGCATTGTGGCCTGTGATGTGTCTGACAGTGCGACGAAGACCGGGAGCTGGGAAAGTGCTAACATATCCAGCACTTGTGAGGAGAAGCTCAGACTCTTGCGGGCTCTGCTGTTGGTCGGCCATGGTTTCGGTCTGGTTTGTCGTTGCTCAGAGATTGAGTAGTAAGGAAGAAGTAAAACACAATGGTAAATAACTCTCTTAGTAAATTAAAACAAAATGAAGTCGATTAAATAGCCATCTTGCTCACAAATAGCTTTCACAGGGAGTCTTGATTCCCACCGACCATTAGCAATGCAGCTATGCCTCTGTTTGGGCATAGACACAAGGATGGTTCTCCACCCCCATAACGCTTGGTGACATTCAACGGCTCGGTGTGTGATGAAATCGGGATCGGGCCGTTACCAGGGCAAGCATAGAGTCCCTTGTTAGACGGGGCCCGTTCAGCTATATTATCTCGATCTACTTTCATCGACTTGCATGAGGCTAAAGGATGAGGCTGAGGCTAAGGCCCTCTGGCCAGGAATCCGCAACCAACCGGATTGGTTGCAAAACAAGCCAAGAGTTGACAACTGCAGGATTCTCCACCCCTCTTAGACGTGACAAGTAAGCGTGGTTCCTCCATCGAGGATGAATCCGCATCCCGTTGCATAGCTCGATCTCGGACTGCAGAAGAAGATCACCGCGTCCGCCACCTCCTCCGCAGTAGCGATACGACCCAAAGGAACCATTCCCTTGACCCAACTGTCTATTTCCACACCTCCGTCTCGCGCGCTTTGGATCATGGGCGTCTCCACCCACGTGGGACAGACACAATTGACTCGGATCCCATGAGCTGCATTATCGAGGGCTGAAGGATTTGCACAAAACCCCACGTCAATACCGAGATGCTTCCAAATGAGGCAATTCCTCCAGGGGCCGAATGTTACGTACCGGCATTCTTGGTCACACCAAGCACCGCATGCTTAGCGGCTGTATATTGCACCAAGTGAGGAGCTGCAGCAAACGAGTTGCCAGAACCCAGAGTTACAATTGAACCCCGAGTCCCTCCTCGGCCCGGATTCGTAGGATCAACAGGCTTGAGCTCTTGAAGTTGCATTGCGGCGGATACGCTCCGAACCAACAGGAATGTGCCTTCGACATGAGTCCGGAGAAAACGGCTGAACTCGCCAAAGTCTGCCTCCGATATGTGTCGTGCTAATTGGACTCCGATCTGTAAGAAGGTAAGCCCGTCAGGTTAGAGCTTTGGGACACGGAAGCTCTCCGTCTGCGGAATAACGGATAAGACTAGTGGTACTTACGCCGGCGCAGTTAATACAATAGTCAATTCTCTTAAAAGTCTCGACCATGTACTTGGTGGCCCTCGCCACAGACTCTTCCTGAGAGACGTCAACTTCGAGCGGCTCAGCACGGAAATTGGTAGTAGTTGCTATGTCTCTACATTCGGTGGCAACATGGCTTGCTGCTTCAAGATTCATGTCCGCGATAACAATACCCTTAGCACCGTCTTTGGCCAGGCCGAGGGCGCATGCTCTCCCTATGCCACTTCCTTTGCTACTTTAGCATTTGCGTTAAAGAACCATGTAGGGTTCTACTTCTGGGATTGCACTTACCGCCTCCCACAACGAACGCGTTACCCGTAATATCCATAGCCTGGAAAAAGCAAAGGCCTCTCACTAGTTAGATAGAGTGAAAAGACACCGTATCGGAGGCACTGCGTGAAATGAAAGGCAACAGTAGATAAGACGAAGAGTTCAAGTCCAGTTTACATGAAATCGGCCGTACGAGAGCCTAATTATACCCGTCACTCTTTATATATACGCAGGATAATGTTAATTGATTCAATACTACATCTACGTAATCATGTCAATTAAAGAGTACTTGCAATTGTACCCTGATTCGAGCCCATGGTCTTCCAGAAGGATAACGAAAATACAATCCCCACAACCCGCCTTGGCTAAGCAATATCACCCTGCATGCAGGTGACAGTTGAAGCCAGTAGGCCTATATTTTATCCATAAGCTTGAGAAAGTTGCATTGCCTTGTGAGCCTTTCTCAAACCTACTGTTCTCGGTGGTCTGTATCCCCGACATCATTGAGCTGCGGTGTATATCATGGCTGAATGTTGCCGACGGTCCGAGCCCAACGAGGAAGATGGACGCTCCAAGTCAGAGAAACAAGAAGGATACTTCCGAGTATTCCTTATTGAGGACGTGTGAGAGGGATTCCAAACGCCAACCTCGAATTATGCATTTTTCTAATGTCCCTACTACATAGCAGAGAAAGCCTAGCTCCATGCCATCTCCCGGTGAAGGATTCGGAACGGCTTCGTGGGTCACGCAGCACGCGTATGATACACGTAGGCTGCGTATCTAGACCTCTTGGGCGAAATGAATGTCAACCGGCACAATACAAGTATAGTTTCTGAGGCATATTGTTGGTGATGGCTTCCGGAGTAGGTATATGCCATTATCCCATTTGAGCAACCCCAAGCGAGCGCCGTGAGATGGATTTTGGCGTCCTTCATAACCTAGTTCTTACGAATGCCTTATGACTGATATCCTCCGTCATTCGCTTGAGTTATTTAGCCAGCACGGCGTACTTCAAACGGATGTCCGTCTAACAGCCCCATAGCGTTTAAACGCCTCGTTCGTTTGCTCGTATCGGCGTATCTTAACTCTGGTAAATGTAATTATATCTTAGTTTTCCGAATAAAGTGGCGGAGGCGGCAACGAGAGTCTAGGCTCTTGACTATTCGATCCGTATGGCTCGGTGTATGATGCTAGCACACCATATACGGACAACAGCGACACAATGTTTAAGCCATCCTTTGGGATGAACCATGCCAACTTTTAGTACGGTTGTTAGTCAGTATGATCCCGGATTCTCCCTCTTTGCACATTCCTTGTGATGGCTTTCCTTCAGCTTGTGAGTCTTAGGGCGTTGTAGAGACGAAGGGGTGGGCACCTCTAGCGTTTCGGATGGAAGAGAGAGGTGTGCATCTATAGTATTAGTTCATATCTGATACATTTCGGTATAGAACAGAAACAGATTATTTAATAAGACATTATATCTCGTGGTGGATAGATCTCCAGACCAAATCTCGATCACGGCTGTTTGCCCCTTTCTTGTAGAGCCACAACGCTAGATTTGAAACACTTTCATCATAATTACTTATTCATCATGTTCACTCTTGAGCCTACTTTAGACATTTCCTCCGACTCGGAGTCGTTGCTTCGCAGTCATACAAAAGAGGCCATTGTCGTTACCGAGACATCCTACTTGAATGATGATATACAAGAAACCTCTGGGCCCTCTAGTGATGTCACTATCGAAGACAATACAGTATGCATTGTTGGCATGGGTAAGTCTTTCAAAAAACTACTATGCATGTTTTGCGTGCTAACATGGCCTGTCTGCACATAGCTTGCCATCTCCCTGGCGGAATCACCTCACCATCGGGGCTTTGGGACTACGTTTATAACAAGAAATCTGCTCAATGTACTGTGCCGCTGGACCGGTACAACATTGAAGGTTTCTATCACAAAGATGGCAGCAGAGCTGGAGCCATGAGCGTTGACGGTGGGTATTTTATCCAGGAAGATGTCCGCAAGTTTGACCCTTCATTCTTTGGCATCAACAATCTTGAGGCTTCTTACATGGATCCCCAACAGCGAAAGCTGCTTGAAGTGGTCTATGAATGCTTTGAGAACGCTGGTCTGTCTATGGAAGATGTCTCTGGCTCCAACACGGCAGTGTTTGTCGGCAACTTTACGGTGGATTATTCGGTCATGCAATCTCGGGATACAGATTATGTTCATCGACTAGCGGCTACGGGCGGTGGTACATCCATCATGTCGAACCGTATTAGCCATGTGTTTAATCTCCATGGCCCAAGGTGAGTCTGTCTCCATGGCTGATTTGGAGTCTGGTCTAACTTTCTAGCTTCACTCTTGATACCGCTTGCTCATCCACCATCTACGCTCTCCACCAAGCCGTGACTGCCATCAAGAATGGCGATTGCGACGCTGCCATTGTTGCAGGCGCTAATCTGATTACATCTCCCGAACAACATTTTGGAACAGCAAAGGGCGGCTTTCTTTCGCCAACTTCGGCCTGTCACACATTTGACACCTCGGCAGATGGTTATGCTCGAGCAGAGGCGCTCAATGCCATCTACATCACGAGGCTTTCGTCTGCGATGAAGAACGACCGCAAAGTACATGCAGTCATTCGAGGAACGGCAATTAACGCGTAAGCCACTCATATCTGCTTCTTAAGACACCTCTATACTAATAGCGCGAAGAAATGGTAAGACTCCTGGTATTACTCTCCCAGACGCCAAAATGCAGGCAGCGGTTATTAGAAAGGCATACCAGAATGCCGGTCTTTCATTCTCTGATACGGATTATGTCGAGTGTCATGGCACCGGTACTCCAGTCGGTGACCCTATAGAAGTGGAAGGTATCGCGGCCTGTTTCGCGGGCCGCGAGGGTGAGCCATTGAGAATCGGATCGGTGGGTGCTCTCTACTAACATTATATTAATATATATGCTGACTGAATTCCTATCCAAGGTGAAAACAAACATGGGCCATAGCGAAGCTGCCAGTGGGCTGACATCCATCATCAAAGTTGCTCTTGCTTTTGAGCATGGCGTGATTCCACCTACCTACGGTGTAAAGAACTTGAACCCCAAGTGTAAGTCGTCTTTATCTTTGCCACACAGTTTAAACAGCTGAAATCAGATGCTAACGGCAGATTAAAGTGAAATTAAAGGAGCGTAACATGAAGGTATTGACAGAAGTTGAGGCATGGCCCAGGGCACTTCGGCGTGCTAGTGTCAACTCCTTCGGCTACGGCGGTGCGAACGGCCATGTTATCCTCGAGTCCATTGACAGCTACTTTGTTGGTTCATTGGCCTCCTCTCCCATCACTAGAACACTGTCGAATCCCTTTGAATGGGATAAGGACCAGGTTTTCGTACTCCCATTTTCCGCCTCGTCAACCAAGTCGCTAGAAGCCCGCCGCAAACAGGCTGTTGAGGCGATGGAAAAGTCTGAAGTAAACGCTTTGAAGCCGCTCGCTGCAGTTATAAGCAAACGACATACCAAGATGCGACTCAGAGACTATGTACTTGCCTCCGCCAACCCCAGCTCTCAGCCAACGCTGATCGAGATGGCTGATGTCGGTGACAAGGCAAGCCCAGGCACACAGTCTTTGCCAATTGCCTTTGTCTTCACCGGCCAGGGTGCACAGTATGCTAACATGGCCAAAGAACTCGTTGGGCAAGATTTTAGCTTCCTAGCCAGCATTCGGGATCTCGACGAGGTTTTGCAGTCGCTGCCCTCTGAATACAAGCCATCTTGGACTTTGGAGCAAACGATTCTCGATAAGCCTGCTACAAGCAAGATCAACGATGTTACTCGTAGCCAGCCAATTTGTACTGCTATCCAAATTGCTCTTGTCAATACACTTCGGAGCTGGGGAGTTTGCCCATCGGCTGTTATTGGCCACTCTTCTGGAGAGATTGCTGCAGCATACGCAACCGGCCTGCTGACTGCGTCTGAAGCCATCCTGGCAGCCTATTTCCGAGGCTTTGCTGTGGGCCATCTACAATCTCGCGGCACCATGATGGCAGCGGGAATCACTTCAGATGGTGCCAACGCCTTGATTGAGCAACTTGGACTGAAGGAAGTGCGTGTTGCGTGTGTAAACGCTCCTGAGAGTGTTACTCTAAGTGGCGCTACCAAGGACATTGATGCTTTGCAAGCTAAACTTCAAAAGGAGGGCAAGTTTGTTCGCAAGCTTGAAACTGGTGGCCGAGCTTACCACTCACACATGATGGCTGAGATTGGTGATTTATACGAGTCACTGGTTACTCCTTACTTTACCAGCAAGGCGGTCGCCGAAACGGAAGCTAAGATGTTCTCAACTGTTGGACATTCAGCTGATGCCCTTGGCACCATTGACCTTTCTACAAACATGGCGTCGTATTTCCGGAAGAACCTTGAGCAGCCAGTTCAATTCAGCGCGGGCTTAGCCAACATGATCACCAGTAACAAATATCACTTGATCGAAATGGGCCCCCATTCGGCTCTCAAAGGCCCTATTCAACAGATCCGCACCAGTGTAAAGCACGACAAAGATACCATTCCCTACTCTCCCACGCTTGTCAGAAAGGAAAATTCTTACGTCTGCCTGAAGAAGCTCGCTGGTACTCTCTTCTCCTATGGCCACAGCTTGGATTGGTACGCCATCAACAATGTCCCGCGGTATCGTGCGCTGCCTACTCCACCCCTTGCCTCTTATCCTTGGGATTACTCCAAGCCCCTGCCATGGCATGAGCCTCGTGCCAGCGTTGAGCACCGTCTTCGAAAGCATGTGCGTCACGAACTCCTTGGGACTCGGGCCACTGCTGGCAACGGCATTGAGTGGTGCTGGCGCAACATCCCTCGTATGTCGGAGATGCCATGGCTACGCGATCACAAGCTCGGCGAGTCGCAGGTTGTCTTGCCAGGCGCAGCATACATGGCGATGGCTATAGAAGCCCTCTCGCAAGCTCAAGATATCAAAGTCCAGCTAATCGCTGGAGAGCCATTTTCCTTCGAGTTTGAGAATGTGAATATTAGCGCGGCGTTTGTTGTGCCTGATGAGAGCGATACTAAGGCGGACAATACCGAGCTGCATACTGTTCTCTCTCCTCGCAAAATCTCTACCGCAAACACATCAGGCAATTGGTATGAGTTTTCCATCTCTTCTTGGGTATCCGGCGTTGCCACACTGCACTGCATGGGTAGCATTCGAGTGGTTGAGTCGACTATGAAACCCACGGACGGATCAGTCATGATTTCGGGCAATGGTCACGAAGTTTGGGGTATGAGCCGATGGTATAACAAGGCAAGGGAAGAGGGACTCAATTTTGGGCCGACGTTCCAGTCATTGACCAGTCTACACACTGACGGCAACCGAATCTCAACGGATTCTATCGCAACTACACATCTGCAGCCGCCTTCTCCAGCCGCCACTGGCATGTTTTATGCTATACATCCTATTACCATCGATGCTTGCTTCCAGGCAGCCATCATGGGCGGTACTGCTGGTAACATCAACACACTACGAGCCTATGTTCCGGTCTTTATTTCAAAGTGTTTGATTCGGATTCCACAGGGCGGTCCCGCTAGCCTAGGTGATGAAGAAGTCAGAATTCACTCACGCATGGAAAAGACTGGGTTTTCGACTCGGGCTGTCGCTTTCACTCTCAGGTTGCCAGATGGTACACCAGTCATCGATATGCCTCACTTGAGAATGAATGCGTACACCGGCAAAGTACCAGTTGAACCTGAGACCAGCATCTATCTCCAGCGCCAGCCATGTCTTCGCGTCCAATGGAAGCCGGATGTATTGCGTCTCCAGCCAGGCTCTGAGAACGCTATTCGAGAATATATATCCTCGTTTGCGTCTCAACAGTCAGACGATCTAAACGATACCGGGGTTCTCATTGTGTTCGCGGCTCTACTTGACCTTTTTGGTCACAAGGTTCCTCGCATGAGTGTACTGGAGCTAGGGAAAGAGTGCCAATGGACGCCTAAAGATTGTCAGCCAATTTTGGGCAAGGATACTGCGTTCCCGCGATTCAGACTATGGGAAGATGGGAGACTTGGAGACGACAACAAGATTGTCGTTGGCAACACCAAAAGCTCTGCTCCCTACGATGTTGTTCAAATTCCTCATCTTTCCGTTTCGAAGGAACTATGGGCAAAGGCTGCAGACGAGGTTATCTCACTGGTTTCTTATGATGGTATTATCATCACTCGTAGGACCAAAGACGCCGTTTCTGCACTTAATGTTGCTGGCTTTGTGGCGCTGGAACTCCCGAATGAGACCCTCGTCGCCGTGCGTAGCCCTAAGAAAACATGGTTGGAAACAAAGGAAGTGGTCATCGTCAAACCAAAAGAGGCCTCTCCCTTCATCAACTCTCTGGCAACTGCGATGGCGACTCAATTAAAGATGAATGCCGGCGTTGCGCAGCTAAGAACAATTACTATTGACGACATCGAGACCGTTAGTCTCAACGCTCAAGTTGTTTGCATATCGCTCCTGGAGATGGAGCACGAGTTTCTCGCCACCATCAGCAGCGAGGACATGGACCGTTTCCGTAAGATCACAGACAACGTCGGTGACCTCTTGTGGCTAACAGGAGCAAACATGCTATCTGCTCCCAACCCAGACCTTACCTTATCAAGTGGTCTCTCCAGAGCCCTGATGCTGGAGCAGCCAGCGCTGCGATATGCTGTTTTGGATGTTGGAGCTGATATCTCCAAACCAAATTCTTTGGATTCTATCTGTAGCAATATCTCGGCAGCCTTGACTTTCCGCTATACCACAGATGACAACGAATTCATTCAAAAAGATGGCATACTTTATGTCAGCCGCTTCGCTCCCGACATTGAACTCAATGCTCTATTCAGACAGCGTATGACTCCTGAAGCGATGAAGCTGGTGCCTCTGGGAGAAGTTGGCTCAGCCAAGCTGTCAATTGGCCAAATTGGCATGACCGATACCATTCACTTCCAGCAAATATCAGAACGCAAGACATCGCCTCCGCCCGGCCTTGTTGATGTCGACCTCCGTGCTGTTGGTCTCAATGCAAAGGACGTTTACGCTCTCAATGGCCGTGCTGAAACACGATCGGCTACAACCGCCCTGGATTTTGGAGGTGTCATCTCAGCTGTTGGACCCGATATCAAGCATCTCAAGGTGGGAGACCGTGTGGCTGGCTTTATTCCTAATCATTTCGGGACAACCGAGCGAGTCCCTGTGCAGGCAGTCCACAAGATGCTGCCGGAGGAGGAGTTCACCGTCTTACCTACTCTTCTTACTGTTTACTGCACTGCCCTCGTTGCTCTCCGTGACCGAGCTCATCTTCGCGCTGGAGAGTCCATCTTGATTCACTCTGGCGCCGGTGCCTTTGGTCTTGCAGCCATCACCCTGGCTAAGCACATGGGTGCTACAGTCTTTGCAACCGTCGGCTCACAGTCAAAACGTGAATATCTCGTCAAAGAGATGGGTGTTCCAACTGAAAACATCTTCAGCTCGCGCAATGCCTCTTTCATGATGGACATCGTAGCTGCCACTGGCGGCCGGGGTGTCAATGTCATTGTCAACTCCCTTGTCGGTGACTTGATGCATGCTTCTTGGTCCTGCATTGCTGCTTTTGGACGTTTTGTAGAGATTGGCAAGCGTGAACTCATCGACGCAGGGAAACTGGACATGCGTGTCTTCTTAAAGAATGTGACCTTCACTGCCTTTGATCTATCAGAGTTCTTCTACGCCGAAGATAGCTATTACCAGGACGTTGTGTACGGTTACACCGCCGAAGTGGTTGAGATGTACCGCGCAGGGATCATCAAGGCCTCTCCCATCACAACCTTTGACGTTGCTGAGATTGGTCACGCTTATCGATACTTTGGCAACAAAGATCGAGTGGGCAAAGTTGTCATTTCAATGGAAAATCCCAAGAGCCTTGTGCAAGCCGTGCCAGCGCCGTATCAGTCCGTGTTTGACCCTGAAAAGACCTACTTGCTCGTAGGCTGCCTTGGTGGCCTCGGCCGCAGTCTCAGCCGCTGGATGATGGCTCGTGGTGCCCGCAAGTTCTGTTTCCTTGGGCGCTCAGGATGTGATAAACCCAGTGCTTCCGAGCTGGTGAACCGTCTCCGATGTGCCGGCGCCAGCGTCACTGTTGTCCGCGGAGATGTGTCTAATGAAGAGCAAGTTCGTGAAGCTGTCGCAGCCTGTACCAAAGAGGGGCCCATTGGTGGTGTTGTTCAAGCAGCCATGGGACTCAGTGAAGCTTTGTTCTCTGTCATGACCAATAAAGCATGGCACACCGGTATCCAACCCAAGTGGAGAGGTTCCTGGAACTTGCACAACGCTCTTGAGGGTCATGATGCTGATCTAGACTTCTTCCTTTTGACCTCATCTATATCTGGTAGCTGTGGTACCGCCACAGAGAGTAACTACTGTGCTGCCAATGGCTTCCTTGATTCTTTTGCCAGGTGGCGCCGTTCTCAAGGCAAGCCTGCTGTGTCAGTTGGCCTTGGTATGATATCAGAAGTTGGCTATCTTCATGAGAATCCTGAGATTGAGGCCATGCTGCTCCGCAAGGGTATCCAGCCGCTCAATGAGGACGAATTTCTTCAAATCTTAGATTACGGCATATCCGGTCCCGGCAGTGACGCTAAATTTATTCACGGAGTGCCCATGGCCAGTGACTCTGCTCATATCCTGACAGGCTTGGAGTCCTATGGTGTCCGCAAACTGATGGCTCAGGGATTTGAAGTCAACAACGGCGTCATGGATGAGTCTCGCACCTCTATCCTTGCCGCATCTCTGCTCTCGGAGGAAGATGCCAAGGAAGAAGGAAAAGGCGTTGATGCTAATCTGCTCCTTACCGCTGCTGAATGGGTCAAAGACATACCCGCCAATGCTCATTCTATGCTGATGTCCGAAGCCAGTGCGCCTACGATGTTGGATGCTATTCTGCGCCTCACCAAGAAGCGTTTCAGTAACTTGATTCTGATGCAGCTAGATGCTGTGGATGATCGTGCTCCTCTCCCATCATTTGGTGTTGATAGTATGCTTGCTGCAGAGTTTAGGACTTGGTTCTTCAACACTTTCAAAATCGATGTACCATTTCTCGATATAGTCAGTCCTCAGAAATCTCTGCAGATATTGGCGGAATTTGTTGAGGGAAAACTTGTTGCCAGCTGGGCAAATTGAAAAGAAAGAAAAAGAAAAAAAAAAGGCCACTCAAGTTTGATCAAATGCAAAATGTTTGGGAAAGTGAACGTGTAGCCAAAGGCCCCGATATTGAACTTAGAGGTGGGTTTTGTATTTCTTGGTCAAGGCTACAGGCTTCAGAAGCTTCATTGCAAATGCTTCATAGCACCACTAATAGATCTTTGTATTTTTTTTCTCTAGCATAATTTATAGTCCTTACAAAAAAACGCATTCATTTGCTTATTTGTCTCGAGACTTTGATTCTCCCGGGTAGCTCCAGACGTAACTCCGCGACAATGCATCGCAGGCTTTGGCATAAACTTCTCCTTCTAGTTGCTACAAAATATCGGAGTATTACAAGCATTCTTTTTGCTAGTTAATGGGGGAAGCTGAAATTGAACCCCCTGAGAATCTTGGATTGACGTATTCATATGACGGATATTGAACTTCTTACACATATTGTATGAAGACAAGTACATGTATCTACGATTGAAGTCAATTCTCATACCACTGCCAGAATAAGAAGCAGGCCTATCTAAATCGTGTATCCGCAACCCTTCGGATATACAAACCAGCTAAACCTATTTGCATGAATACCTTCCCATTCCCCGTACTTGTATCTTTCACATTATAGGTAGGCAATTGTACAAGAAATCTCCCACCCAACACTGCAATCTAACTTGAACGATTGCCCATGCGTGTGCCCTTGCAACTTTCCTCATTCTAGTCATATGACCACACTCCCAGCTATCCGGTTAAAGTAGTCTGCAATCTATCATATTCCATGTTGGTAAGCTGACTTACTCGTTGTTAATGCGAGGGAGTGAACATCTCCACATGCTCGCGTCGCGAGAAACCCGCGATCGCAGTCAGGGGTACGGAGTTGACGGCTCCGCCCCATGAATTCAGAACTGGTGAGTGTTGCATACTAGTAGTTCGTGAGGGACCAGGGACGCGCGTGTTACACGGGATTTCGACGCGGTAGACGACAACCGCCGCGGCCAAAGACCGCTCGCAAAGGCCGCTGGCTACGGAGCCGGCTCCGCAGCCACACAGAGCTGCAAGATATGCCAAGGACGGTAGGGCTACGATATCATGTACGGGATAAGATGAGTCTTTCTTCGTGAACAGCCCTGGATATCGTGATTCCGAAGACTTGGGTATGGGCCATCTATGATCGCAGCTGATGCTGGCTTTGCCTTGCTGGCCCCATCATACAGACAGTTGTATACGAACAAGCGGTGGAAGCAAAAGAGTGCAGGCTCATAATATTCAATAAGACACCGAAACGGTGTTGTTGTCTTCTCCATAAAGTGTTTTCCTGATAATACAAGTCGTCCGAGTACTCATTCATACTCGGGTTGGAGATTAAGCCCGCGGAGTTCCGCAACACAGAGTCTCTGAAACTGAGACGACCAAGCCCAATACTGCTAAACCGACGGTTGATGCTGCTAGACCAAGTCGCAAACCAGTGTGGAAAACGCCCCCAGCGGCAACACCGTTTGACCGTTCGCTCTAGCACCCTTTGAAATCCATTACCCGCCCCTAGCGAGTCAGAGCAATTCCACGCCGACCACTAACGCCTGTCATATCGCTGGTGACAGTTTTGGGGCGTTTTTCTGTTCATCATCTGCTCTTGAAGCATCTAGCGGGGTTTTCTGGAAGGTTGGTCTGCGGACCCAACGTGTTTCCATCATCTCTCATTATTCAACTCAGCATGGAAATGTGATATGACGGATTGGGAGCATGACAAAGATTACATAGCCATTGTCGTAACTCATCCCTATTTAGGGTCATACGTGTACAGACCTGGGTGCCGGACCGTAAACAAGGAAGGGGTTCTCCGTAGAAGGCCGACGCTGGAGAAGACTGGAGCCCGGTGGCAGACTCTGCTCTACAAGCAAGACGGAAACCATGGGGACGAGACGGACCGGTCAACTACCGATAACGTACCGTATGGAGCAGTCCATCTGGCTGCGTATGTGCTGTTTTGAGTTGAACGGGCCGTCATTGGCTTCATCGTTTGTCGGCTGCGATCCAGCGCCCGCTCAGCAAATAGCCCCAATGATACCATGGCCACGTAAACCCACACCTAGGCGTCATTTTAATTACCACTACGAAGTGCTACTGCTCCCTCCAGCTCGCTTGTTTGGCAGCAAACTCATGTGCAGTACGAGTATGGTAGCAGTAGGATGTCTTGGTTAAACGGTCTTTGCTTAACAACTTACACACTCAGACGACGTATGCTCTTTTGGGCAAACGACGCGATACATATACTCGCTTCGAATCCTTCCGTGTGTCTGACTGATTTCATCCTAATGAACCCTCAAAGCCTACTTCCTTCCAGTACTAGTAAGACAAATCAGGGCTACACCCCTATAAGGCCTCGCCTAGACAGGAAAAGAACGCACCTTTTCTGCGAATGCTCCGTATCTGGCAAGAATCACCTGAGGGTTTGTCAACGTCGGCGAACAGGCCGGGGACCACAGGGCATCAGATGAACCAAATTCTCGGGTCCAGCGTCGGCTTTAAAGCAAGATGCTGACAATTGCCCGACCAAGGGCTTACGCTCGCCCTCTCCTCTCTACCTGCAATTCGCACGCCGTCCGCAAATCACAAGGGCATACGACTCGCTGCCTCGTAAATGCGTGAAATGAAGCCCCCGTCTTGCGCATATCCCAGACCCATAATCCGTGCGCATGGTTTCAAGTTTCGTTCCTCGCCTCGTCGCCATACTTACATATCACGGCTACCCGCACATTCCGGGCTTCGGACCGCTGCTGTCTCTCCGCCCCCCGCCGCCCCGTTACTGAATGTCTTTTTAGCCTGTTGGTCCAGTCGTTTCCCTCGAAACTTGCTGCCTGTTCCGCTGCAGGGCCAGACATGGTCGTTTCAACGTCTTTGCCCGATCGGGTCCGTGTTGAAGAAAGAAAGGCTGCCGATATTGATGACTTGCCACTGAATCGCCATTGTGAGTTGTGACGAAGATGGCGCCCTGCAGCAGAAACACGAGTCTGGGACAACCAACAGGAGACAAGACCCACGACGATTACAGTTAGACTACCGAGGCATCGATGAATCTGTCCAGAATGTCGTCCTCCTGCGATTCCTACACACAAGGGGCCTTATAGTGTAGACGAGAACCATCGAATTCAGGCCATTTCATATCGTAGTGTTACCCGTTCCCTAATTAAAGATCTTGTGGGCGGCCTTTGACCTTTGACCTTTGGAGTTGGCCGATCATGACCGATCAGAGAACGGATTTAGCCTCCTCCGCAGCAACATCGCCGTCCTGCTCTTACCCCTGGCTTGGTGGATACGTGTGCATATGCATACAGCCACCCTTCTGTAGCCCAGCTCTGGATCGAGATACTGGGCAGAAGATGAAGGTAACGTCAACGGTGATGGCCAAGGACCAGGGCGTGTAGTAGAGCAGCATGGAAATCCTGGGACTGCTACACACCCTTTGCTCCCATTGGCACGTAAAACAGGTCACCTATAATTAGTGAAAATTAATCCCGTCATGCTTCGGAAGGTCTAATCAACAAGCACCGCAGCGTTTTAAAGAGGAAGGGAATCAATGACAAGTTGGACTCCGTAGGGCGCATCAGGGGTTCCTGTACGAAAAAGCAGGGGGGAAAGCAAGTTTTTCTTGAGAGAGTGTGTGTGTTGCAATGCGTTCGGAATCGGAACATTGGACCTTGGCGAACACGGTGAGCACAAGGCAGGGAACCTCGCAGATACTTGCATGAGCAGACGCTCACGGGATTTCCCAGGATCTGTCGAGCAATTCCTACAGCACGTCCGGGCAAAAGCCGCTGACAGAAACAAGTGCGATGCCATGCCATGCCATGCGCCGCGTAACTTGCATCGCTTCCGCAGCACCCACCAGAACCTTGATCGTAAGTAGCACGATGAAGAATGGAAAGCCGCCGTAAGACGCGCCAACATGCTCTAGAACTTCGCCCTGAGTTTTACGAGCCGTTGACCATTTGCGAGCACACCAATCGGAACGTCTGCAGGGTCGCGGACGAGGCGCGGACGAAGCGCGGACGGCGGCTGTGGAGATGGCTGTAACCCTTTTTTTTGGCTCCCGTCACTCCGGACTGTGAATAGTGACGAGTCGCATTTACGAAACGAGCGGCAAGCAACTTTGTGGCGCCATGTTTAATGATGTTAGCGTATCAGAAGAGTCATTAGTTGCAGCACTCTCACGGCTAGTGTAATCATGACCAACGTGGAAGCTGTCAAAGACGGTACGTATGCGAGCTTGAACGGTGATGGGCGGATCGGCACACGAGGGAAACGTGTCAGTGGCAAATCTGAGGCCATCGCCACTCAGGAACACATCAGGCATTGGTCACATGCTCGGAGTGATATGCGGGAGAGCGGATCCTACCCATGAGTGATGAGATGGTAATTTGTTGGTCAGGGCGTGTAAACGAGATCAGTGTTGATACGAGAAGACATGTTCGTTTAACAGACGGTAGTTTCGCTTCAAAGAGGGCCTGGAAGTGTCGAGGATCGCATCCCTACCTTGCCTATGCACAAAACTGATAATGTATTAGTATCTGTACACTACACCTACACACCCCTCCCGCCCCCTAGTATGTGATGTGCATGTACTAGCGACGTAGTATGTATGCACTCCGTGCTCTATATCACAAGAGTCTTGGTGGAAACGAGAGACACAGGGATGATACGCATGTTGCGTGTGCTGTCAGTATCAGGGGGGCCATCTTGCAATCGAAGCCGACGGCATGCAACACCGCAAAGCCGGATGGTGGTCCTGGCAGCGATACCTGCATGTAGATGTCAATGCTAGCAGCATGGGCGTGCACATTTTCAAGCTTCATCTTCATACCCGGGACTCACGGCGCAAAGTTGCCGGCTCACATCAGCGACCAGTCCCTTGTTTGAAGCCCTGTTGCAGAGCTAGCAGGAATGCAGGTGTACATGTATGCATGAAGATGCTGCTGTTAGGCTTTCCTGTGGACTCC